TGAAGCGTAGTAGGACCCCGGATTATAGGTGAGAAGGCCTGATTTCAAAACGGAAAATTCGTCAGGATTTGCATCACTGATCAGGGATTCTGGATTATTAGCCGGGGTCCTAGCGTAGTCGACTCCGGAAATCGCGATAGGGTAACCGGTCCGAAAGTTGGTTATGTTAAATAGAGGCTGCACAAGTACTTTCTGCCGCTTCCCCGCCACGATTTAAGACTAACTACCCCCTCTGTTCACGATGGCCCCGCGAAGACCCGCTTCGGATCTAAAACCCCGAGCATGTGCTGAGTTGGCGTTGTACACTGTGCCATTCTGCACCAAAGAATTCATCCAGAACATGGTCGGGCAGGTGCAGAAGGCGTTGCAACAGCGCGAATGGTCAAGTTGGATAACGGAGGACCTCGTCAAGGTGCAGTTCTCAGTTATCATTCGTTTCGGGATGACTCACGCCCACGTCAGAAACCACAAAAAGAACGGGAAATGCGGAAGCACGCACTCATCGACCAGTATCCTGGCCTATTCACTGGTCCCCATGGGGCATCCCTGAAGGCTCCGAACTGGCTACCCTCATTCATTGCTTCGGGACAGATCCCTCGTTCCGAGATTGAGCGTGCCGCGTCTCGGAACGTCGACGCCGCGGCTCGAAACATCGACACCGATCTCATAATGGCTGTGATCTTGTGGCTGGACACCGCGACTCAGCGTCACGGGCTTTCCTTCTTCAACAATCACCTGGACGAGGAAGCGGATATTTCGTCCTTTTTTGTGGACGGCGCGTCGACTAGCAGAACTAATCGTTGGGCAGTGGGACAGAAAGGAAAAGGATTCCCTTTGGCCACCCAATTTTTTGTGGAAGAGGTTGAACTGCATTCTGGGGACGAAGAATTCAAGAACAATAAGAAGGATCTTGGTGTATCCTTCCGGGTTGGCCACCAGGTGGGAAATCTGGATTGGAGGACGTCTCAGGCTTTCGGGTCGAAACGCCACGCTATCGTCCCTACCTATATCCTTCGGGTGATGGTCGACGATCTCACCCCTTTGAGCGTTGAGGAGTGGTTGACTCGAGGTGTGTAACGTCCACTTTTGAACGAAACAATTCTAAACATAACCGTCATTCGCAAGCCGCCGACTACAACCAAAACCACACGAATAAACCAGAAGATCCGGACTCAATGCAGAAGAGTGCGGAAAGCGCTATAAAGCGCTTGAATGCGATGCGCAAAAAGCAGCAGCTTGACGTCTTGGATCATGGCGGTCGTCCTCTGGTTCATGACGACGAGGTGGCAATCACTGTTATCGGTCTAGACAGAGCTCTGACGCCGGAATATCTCCTCTCGAACGTTTATGGCATCTTTCCGCCCGCGCACTCATGGCGTGTCTCACTTTCAGACTCGGAAATCCAGTTTTTCAAAGACGCGAACAGCGAAGGTGCTCAGGCTGGTTCGGCGCCGGATGGTCGTCCGGAATTCACGACAGCGAAATTCTTTCATCGCGATCAACTCGTCCCCTACGGCATTCACCACCTCCATGGATTGGGCGTCAATTACCATGGCGATCTCTCTCTCTCATCCGACCGGTTGTGTGTATTGGGTGACGCGTACAAGAGGAAGTACTGTCTCGCGCTTGGAAAGAGTGCCGATGAAGGTTTTAGGACGATTCCGAACCTCGCTGTGGAGCTCGCACTCGAGATACTGGCGGACTCGCATTCGGAAGGTATTGCTGGGGTGATCCAACCGCGAGATAAAACTGGAGCGCAGGCCTATCATCAGGCCTTCGAGTCTGCGATGCGCAGGATGCACCCAGAACTTGCGCCAAATGCCGATATTTATCCGACGTCCAGCGAGAACGACACAATTTGTCGTGAACTGGGGCGGATCCCTGTCGTGGTACGATCCAGTGCACGGTCAATCATGTCGGCATCGGGAGCGTACCCCAACATTCAAGATTATGCGCGTGCACTCCTCTTGTCTTCGCCTTCTATTCCCCCTACCAAAGGCCTGGAGCACCTCCGCAAGGCAATCGGTATTTTGATGCCGAACGTCCCCCCGGAGAACGTTACTATCCGCGAATATAACAAATCCTTGCCGATTGTCGCTTGGGACGGTCCCAGCAAGATCCTAGCCTTTGCGCTGCCTCCGAAATGCGACGATCATCTGAACCAGCGTGACGTCTGTTTGTGCTGGATCGGTCCTGCACTTGCCCATGCCGCTCCAATCCTGGGCAAACGGCTCGACAAGACTTTCTTTCTCGCCTACGATGCGATGAAAGACGATCCGGTTCCGGAGTCTAATGATTTAGAGGATGATATGGATTCGGAGGATGACATGGATGTCGGTGGGTGCATTCGCGCCGTCTCTATACTCGCCTTTAATTCTCTCAAATAGACAACCTGCTTGACAGACCTCAAAATGCCGGGGCTGCCGCTGAACTAAATCTGCCACAGGTTTCGAGCGCGCGAGGAACGGCCGCCTCCGCGCATGGTCGCGTTCAACCCCACGTACCTGCTGGCGACGCCAGACGCAACGCAGGACCCGTAGCAGGCGCACCTTCCATCCTCCGCGCTCCTCCACCACGGCTTGCCGCAGAGCCTCATCGTTTTGAACCTCGCGTATCGCTGGCTGGCCCGCACCTCCCTGTGATTCCGGCACGCCAGCCAGCCGCCGCCGCTGGTGCAGCCCAGGCCCCTACCCGCCTTGCCGACCTTCGGGACCCCGTTGTGGCCGCTCTGTCACACTACGAAGAGTTGAAAGCGCAGCTCAAGATCGTCAGCTCAAATTATGACGCCCTGAAGGCCCAGCTCGCCCGCCGCGAAATCGAGTACGCCGACCTCCAGAAGAAATTGCCGGAGAAAGACGCGAGGATCTTGGCGTTGGAGGATGAATTGAAAGACTCGAGGGACGAGGTTCAGAGAATGAGCGATAAATGGCGAAAGCTGCAGCAGCATTTCAATGACGTCGATGTACGCGATGCAGGGGGCGCGAAGCGCAGAAGGACAGAAAATCAAGAGTAAGTGTTGAGGTTTACCCGCAGATTTGGCGGCATCGGATAGGAACGCTTACTCAGGAAAGATGTTGGCGTTGATATGTAAAAACATGTTATTAATGGCGTGGAATTAAATGAAAAGTGTCCGATTGAGGTTTCCCTCTTCTTGGATGAAAAGTTGAATATACTCACCACCATACGCGCGACATGGGAACGTAAGGAGCGCGCGCTCATAGACGCACGCCCGCCTGCAGTGCTCACAGCCGCAAAACCAATTCGGGGTTCCTACGCTGCGCATACATTCCCGATGTAGCCAACGAGTTGCCGGGTTTCGTGGCGAAAGAGTCCCTAGCTTGCCAGCGCTCGCATGGGCACGGATCAGAGAGAGCGAGAGCGCTACAGGAGATGTAATAGTGTAGTGTGTGAGTACACAGAGACGCATGCGTGAAGATCCCGCACGGCCATGGGTAACCGAAGCAGGGGCGTCGCCAACACCGCCGTAGCCTGTGGCGCACATTGAGCGCACAGAGAGATGCATCCTCCGTGTGTTAAAGCGTACATGGAAGGGAGACAACGCAGTCCGGCGTGCGCAGGAACGCCGAGTCTCTTCGCATGCGCAAGATTGCCGCCGCAGCCCATCTCCAGACGTAGCGTTACGAAACGAGATTGAATGGGATAGGACAGACTCACCATCGGCCTCCAATAGATCCCGCTTATTCCTGAAGAGTAAGTATGCAGGTGCCGACGTGCACAAAGGAGCGGTGCGGAGTGAGCAGCCTGCGCGATGAGCGTAAGCCACAACGAAGTTTACAGAAACAAGTAGGGACACACCGGGAGCACCCCGATAATCGGCCCTCAACACTGTATCTTCACATCGTCTACTCCGTGTCCGGGAGGCTTATCAGCTTCGACCCAAACTTGACACCGAGCTACCCATGATGTATGCCTATTAGCGCAAGTGCATGGGGGGTGGCACGGAACACATAGCGGGGTCCGCGAGGCGGACGAAGAGGGAGAATTTCCCGACTGCTGCGGCATGTACCCATAATTTCAGCGAGATTCGACTGCAAAAATAGTAGACGCACCAGTCAGTGGCAGTGATGGTGAGTTTGAGAACATAATGCCGGCTGGTCATCGTATGGAGAGGATCGGGCGTCGATTGGAGGTATTCACTTGAACGAGGCTCGAGGTCGAGGAAGACTGGGGAGTGGATGAAGGACGAAGTTCAAGACAAGAGAAACGCGGCACGCGGCTGTTGACCACGTGCCAGGGGGCGGTGCCGGGACCGCGGTGCCGAGTTGCCGGTCCCTCTTCCTTCTCACCCTCATGTTCTTGCGCTGAGGGTCTTTGCAACGACTCGGTGGAGAATAGTACGACATCCGTTTCATCCGAATCCCATCTCTGTGGACTGTCAGGGAAGGCGCCTGCTCGAATGAGGCTCGAGTCTGTTCTATCTGTGTTTTTTTTTTTTTTTCGCACTGACTCTTTTCACGTTCGGAGCGCTTCATTCTCCTGTATTGAGTGGCTCTCCTCCAAGCCCCAGACCTCAATTTCTGCAGCTCCTCACGTTCTAAATTTCGCGATAGCATGGTCAGTTGCATTCTGCATTCCGCGTGATGCGCCCGCTGTGTTGTCCAGCATCCCGTTCTTGTCTCATCTTGCTTATGCAGGGTAAATCAGACTAAATACCGACTCAATGGCGGATGGTCCGCGTTTGCACTTAAGCTTGCTGTGGCCTTTGAACATTTCACGCGGATGACGCGCGTTCGACTCTGGCTCAAGTCATTGCACAGGCGAGATCGTATTTTTTTGTCCTTTTTCTGAGTCCCCCCACCTCAGTTATTTTTCAGGCCTATCGATGTCCAGCTTATATTACATATCCGACGCGATTATCACATCGCCAGGCACGCTCGTTCAAACTAGACTCCTGTTTATGCAGGGTGCCTTGCTGGGCGTGGTGTGCCAAGTTGCTGATCGCTCTCGTCTATTTGGCTTGCGCTGGGAGCTACTTCAACGACTCGGTGGCGAATGGTTTCGCATCCGTTCTCATTTAGATCGTTGTTTTGCATTCAGCGGAAGGCGCCTGTTCGACTCAGGCCCGAGTCATTCGGTAGGTGTAGCCACTTTTTTTCCCGGCCAATCTCAAGCTCGGAACCGCTTCCGCCTGTCTACGTCCTGACCCGTGTATGCTCCTGCAGAAGATTCATCGCAGTGAACCTCAGTTATTCCGTACCTTCACCGAATCTGGGTATTTCAGCCAAAGCAAAATTTCCTACTATGTCTATGGTATGTTCATGACCGTATACCGACTCCGTGGCGGACGGTCCGCTTCTTCAATTTCAAGTACATTCCGATGGACTCTACAGAAGAAGCTCGTTCCGAGTCATCACCCTCTTCAACTCGTTTTTGCATTCTTTTGCATAGCTCTCTCCTGCGGGCCAAGGGCTTGGATCTAGGAATCTGTACAACATCCGGCCTATATGACCTCTCGTCCTATATAATATTGGTAACGCCATGCACGACACGGAATTTATGACTCGGCGGCACTGACTTCACTCATAGTTACACACTTGCATTTTCAAGTTAATACTTCCTCAGAGTACCTTCAACGACTCGGTGGCGGAGGGTTCGCACTGTCTTCATCAAATTTTATTCCTTTCCTTTCTGCTTAGCGCTGTTATGCAGTACGCGAGATATCAAGGTCCGAAGAGATGCTTGCACCGACTCGGTGGCGGATGGTCCGCATCTGCTATAAATAGGCGTCCAAGTACTAAAAGCTTTGCAAGCGGACAACGCCCGTTCGACTCGGGCTCGAGTCATGGCGAGTTCTACAATTTTTTTTTTTCAATATCTCGGTATTCAATCGCCCAGGCACGATTCGGCAGTGACTTCGCTTGCATACATATGCAGGGGGAAAGTGGTGCTTGTACAGACTCGGTGGCGGATGGTCCGCATCTGCTTCATGTGAGCATACCGGTGTGGCTTTGCACGCAAGATACGCTCGTTCGACTCGGGCCCGAGTCATCCTTCTCTGCTACGAGCCTTTTTGTCGCTATTCTAGCCTTTGACAGACTCTGCTTTTTCCACGGAGTATCTTTCCTCCAACCACGAAGGTTAGGCTCGTCACCAGCCTCTGCGTTGAGCAACAAGACACCTATGTAACACTAGAGTAGCCTGCAATTTATTTTGGGTCAATCGGGCCAAAACTGAGCGAGAAAAAAAAAGCCATAAAAGGTTGCTCTAACGCAGAGGCTGGGAGAACTTAGTACTGAAAAGGGTCAATAGAAATCACGTGATGATTCAATATGACTTAGTGCAATTTTCGCGTTTCGAAAATGTTTCGATGTCATGAATTCCCAAGTAGAGTCCTAGGAAGGTTGTGCAAAGCTTATAGAACCTCACCCAGGGAATCAAAATGATGTTATATCATGTTTTTTTTAGCACAGTAAATATAATGGTCCATTTTGGGTCTTTTGATCCAAGGCTTCCAGAGCACAAATGTAAAATTTCCCGACACATTTAGAGGCTCTCAAGACATTTTATAGTTATTCCAAACAGTCCTACAAATCAACTTGGACTTGTTGTCCTACATACCATGTGGTAGAGGCACATGTAGTCGGGGTAAAAGTACCCTCCTCTAAGATCTCTACTCCCAGGTAATGAGCCTCATTGAGATTCAAAATGCATAAATAATATCTTCTCAGTGTATTTAATATCTCCTACTGGAACTGCAAGGCATTCACAGGTCATAATTGAAGAGACGGATGAGACCAGGGGGTGGCTGTGTGTGGCTGTGGTCACCGGTCCGTGCCGCCGATGGTAGACAATCTTCATAATTACAGAATAAAGCAAATAGCTGTGAGAAATCGGAGAATAGTGGCAGAGTCCCCCAGGAGTTCTGAAATTTTTTTGTGGCTCAGTTTCTGAATTGACGAGATGTAAAATGTCTGCAAGTCGAAATTTGCACTAAGTCGTACTGAATCGTCACGTGATTTCTATTGACCATTTTCAGTACTAAGTTCTCCCAGTCCCTACGTTCGAGTAACCTTTATTGCATTTTTTTTTCTTCCTCAGTTTTTGTCAGAATCACTTTATTCAACTTGTGTTATACTACTCTGTCTTGTTACTCAACGTAGGGAGTGGTTACGAGTCTACACGAAGGTCTTGGTCCCGTTTGATAGCTGCATATGTATATCTCTACGTGATCGCCGATACTCCATCCCTCTGGTACTCAATGTGGTGCACCCGACGTACATTTTCCGCCAGATTGGTTATGCAGAGTGCTTCTTACCCTAATACCGACTTGGCGGCGCATCTGCTGCATATTCACGGACTGGATTATTCCATCCTTATGCTTGGTTATTTATTCATTTTTATTTTTGGTGGAGCCTTGAGGCAACGGGCAGACAAGTGATACTCAATGAGCACCCCTACTGATCTGATCAGTCCCCGTTACCAGCTGGGTTTTGGGACTATATCCCTTTATAGAACTACTCGGTCACCCTGGAGTAATGCCCTTACACACGCCCATTACCAGGCAGTGTGGGACTCGGTAGCTCCCCACTAGCATGCTAGCGGTTCAGTCCTGGAGGATGGAGAGCACCTATACCCACTAAAACTCCAGACTGCCAGATCCAGTTTTCTGGCAGATTTTGGTTGTCCATTAGGACTCCGTCCCAGGTTCGCGATCGATGTTTGTGGCACGACTTCCATATCGCGAGATGTCTGTCAAGAGTTGGTCAAATTTTGAGGCGCATGTTCATACATATGACCCACCTGTTATGGATTTCCGTCTCCTAGACTTGACTGTATGCGATGGGACATGCTCACAGCCGCACAGATCATGCGTAAGTATTGCGCTGCACTACCGGTGTCCACGAACCGGACTGGGAAAGAGAGACGATAGGAACGACCCTGATGTCTTGTGTCCCGTCGGAGGTCCAGGTGAGGATAAAGTAGCCCGGAATGAGTTGAATCTTGAGCATGAAGGGCAGACCAGACTGTAACGGACAAACAGCATAAGAGGGGCAGAGGATCTTACAATATTGCGGTGCACGCCAGTCGATGACAAAATGAAGGTCCTCCAAACACGAGTGCCACCCTGCCCGTAGAACGGCAAAGCCAGTGGGGAATAAAAATAACCAATTTACCAAAGACGCCGGTTGACCTGAAAAGCCAGGGTGCAGACGAGGAAATAAATGGTGAATTCAGTCTGGAAAAAGCCTATTCCCTCCCGTGGTTGGCATCTACGTGTAGGTCTATCCGAGTCAGAGACTACATAGCTCCTTCAAGCCAGTCTAGTGTTAAACCTGTTCATCTCGATGGTAAGGTGGGACCCGAGCCCGCTTGAGCCCAGCGACCATGCGCTCGCTTCCTCCCTCCACCGGCTCGAGCCAAACGAGCGGGGATGGAGTCCGGGTTCTGATCCAATTTACGCCGGGATAATTCGATAAGGAGACAGGCAGCCAAGCAAAACCTGGAATTTTAGAGAGTAAGCAAGCACGAAAAGAGTCTGACTCACATCCCGTTGCTTTTCTCCCCAACCTTCGTAGTGATCTCTGCGGTATGCTGTGCCCAATGTGTCAAATTGCGGTTGGACTCGAGCTCGCTGGCCACGAAAGCTGTTATATCTTCCTGCGTAGTTTCGAGCTCAAGAGCAACATGTACCACGCCCTCAAACGAGGCCGTGAATACATCGCGGGATTGACTAGTAAACAGGAAGTGCAGCGGGGTTTGCTGCTCCTATCTTGAAGCACCAATATAAGCCGCACAAGAAGATCGTGTTCCGTGCACTCGTCGAGTGCGTCGAGAAGATATAGGTACGGCTGAGTTCCAAAAGCAACTTGTCCAGGATCTCTAGAAGATTCTGGTAGGTTGGGAGAGTGTTCGTTCGACAAATTGTACTGCCGGTCCAGGGTCATGTACTTGATGGGAGATTGCGCGGACAGCTGTAGAATGATGGACTGAAGCATAATTTCTACGAGCTGGCTCTGTTCGTTCCTGAAATCGAAGTAGAAATAGGCAACTGCGGAGGTCCCGGCAGTGGCCTTGTTGTTAAAGAGCTCCGCAATTACTGTGCTACTGATGTCAGTTGCAAATCGCATGCATTATGTTGACGATAGACATCACCTTAGTACGGTCTTCCCGGCGCCGGCTAAGGTAAGGGCCGTCCACTTACGGCAAACATTCCAAATATGGGCAAATTCTCGAAATAAATGCACTAGATAATCGGCAATGTACTTGAGCTCTATCTTATAATTATTCACATACCGACTTCGTGGCGAACGGTATCGCATCCGCTGTCGTGAGCAATCCAGGCTCATTTCCGCGGAAGTCGTCCGTTCGATTCGGGCCCCACTCACTCGCCTTCGCCTTTGCTCTCTTATCCCAGCCAACAGATGAGCTCGTCATTTCGTTGTCTTTCATGGACCAATGGTGCGCTTCTCCGCTCGGTGCTTACCCATTGTTTTGTCTTTGGCGATATAATTGGGCACTTCATTCCCTGCTAACGTGGTTTTTGATAACTCATTTACGCAGGGACAACCACGGTCAATACCGGTGGCAGATAGTCCACGTCTGCGGATTATTTATCCGTCTTGGACCACCATTCAGCAGAATCACCCGTTCGATTCGGGGCCAAGTTATGACAGTTCAATTTCCTGTTCCGTCTGTTTCTGCTGCATCTGCAGACGTTGGCATGTTCCCTGATCATATATTGGCGACTAATTATTCTCATGGTCTTCACATTCCAGCGAAGGCCCACTGCAACGACTCGGTGGCGAAGGGTATCGCATACGCTTTACTTATGACCTTCGACGGTTCGGAGGAAGCCGCCCGCTCGATTCGGGTCCGAGTTACGAGGTCCGAGCATTCTTTTGGGATTAATCGCACTCCTCCCCTCATTCATAGTTTCTCCAGTTCTTCCGGGCCTCGGTCCCGCACATTTACAAAATGTGGTCGTGTCACTGGCACCTTTTGTTCCTTCCAGTTCATGTTTGAACCTGATTTCGAATTTCCTGTCTGCATTTATCCAGGGCTAAAGTGGTGTCAATACCGATTCGGTGGTGATGGCTCTGCAACCCTTACTCTCCGCACCATCATGTCGATTTATAGAATCTACGTGACTTGGCTTCTTGCTGGAACTAGGACCGAAGCACTCTTTGGGGACTAATGCTTCGACACTGGAGGCGGCATCAGTGGGTGTATCTCCTTCAAGTAGCACTTCCTTCTGACGGAGCTTCGTTCACAGGATTCCCCGCTGTTCGCCTACGCGGTCGGTTACTCGTCGTTGCAGACTTGGGTCTAGTTCACTGCACCAGGGAAGTACATTGGAACGTCATGGACCCTGAGCCCTGGTCGTATAACTTAACTAGACCAGCGCAACGTTAAAAGGCAGACTCGCACCACCCATCTAGGCTGCAGAATGGCCACCACTCACTTTGCAACCCTCGTCATCATCTCCCTTGCCGCTCCTGCAGTTAGTAACGGTCAGCCTATCAACGCGGGTGTTGGTGCTGCGTCCCAGGGACCAATACAACGAATTTGGACGATATCGTAAGTTTATGTTTCCGCTCTCACGTATGTATATTCACCATCCAGCGAAGTCAGAATCGTAGATTCGTAAAACGTATCCAATCCAAGCGTGCTGCGACCCCGAGTTCCAATACTCAAAGACGAGTGTGTATTTGAAATCAATCGCATCAAGGCTTGCAGGGAATGTCTACTGCACCCACTCGGTGGCGAAGGGTATCGCATCCGCCTCATGTATGTGCGCGGAAGTTGCCCGTTCGATTCGGGCCCGAGTCATTAAGAGACACTCCTCCAGCTTTTTTGCTCTTTTCCGTGCCAGGCCGATATTATTTTGGTGGCTTCCAGTCAACAGATGAATCTGTCACTTCACTGTCTTTAATGGCGCTCGGTGCTCGGTGCTCACTCCATTGTTTTCTTTAGTACACGTCATTCCGAGAGAGCGCAAATATTTCTGATCTCACTTATGCATGGTACGTCCAAGGTCAATACCGACT